AGGAGACCCCTGTGACACTGCAAGGCCTCATGGAAGCCAGGGACCATTGTGACACTGCAGGGCCCCATGGAAAAAAGAGGCCAGTGTGACACATCAGGGCTCCATGGATCCAAAGAAACAGGTAACATGTCTGGTTGGTTTGGCCTGACTGGTCCAACTGCCCTTGGCTTGTCGAGGGTCTCTTCTCATGTACGCCTGAAACACTGGGCTCTGGGCTTTCCTTCAGATAAGAAAGAACTGCCCTTCTCATTCAAACATCCATGGCCAAAATGGGATTCCCCCTCCCAAATTCGCAATATCCTGGGATTGCTGCCAGACAAATGCTGCCATTACCAACCAGTCTAGCTGACCTTAACTTTCTGAGAGCTGGCTCCCACCTGCCTTCAAACACTGAGGCTCTGTGCTTTCCTTTCTATGGAAAAGAACCCTCCCTCCTGCACAGGCACCCATGGGCAAAACGGGTACTTTTCCTCCAAAACGCCCTATATGCAAGGGTATCTCCCAGACAAAATCTGCCAGGACAGTCTGCCCTGGCTGGCCTTGGCCTCTGGTGGTTGCCTCTAATCTGCCCTGAAGAACTGGGCCGCTGCCCTTTCCTTCCCATGGAAAAGTACTATCCTTCTCCAGGTGCCCATGGCCAAAATTGGAATTCCACCTTCAAAAGTCCTATATCCAATGATTGCTCCTACACAAAAGCTGCCATTTCAGACTGGTCTGACTGGCCTTGGCCTCCTTAGGGAGAGCTCTCACCTGCCTTCAAAAGACAGGGGCTCCATGATTTCCTTCCTATGGAAAAATCTGGCATTAGCCTCCAGGCAAAAAGGACTGAAATTGGTATTCAACATTCAAAATTTCAAATATCCAAAGGTTGCTCCCAGAAAAACCTGCCAGGACAGACAGGTCTGCCTGCCCTTGGCTTCTGGTGACTGCAGTTCATTGGCCCCTCAAACACAAGGGTTCTGAGGTTCCCTTTCTGTGCAGACCAATGTGACATTGTGGGGCCTTGTGAAATGAAGGGACCATTGCGACACTGTGGGGTCTCGTGGAACCAAGGACATCACTGTGGCTCTGTTGGGTCACATGGCCCCCCCAAGGGGCCAGTGTGAAGCAGCAGGGCTTTGTGGAACCAAGAGGCCATTGCTGCATTTCAGGGCCTTGTGGAACCAAAGGGCCATTGTGATCCTGCAGGGCACTGTGGATCTATGGAGAGCATTGTGGCATTGCAAGGTCCCCTGGAATCATGGAGACCATTGTGACACTGTGGAGCCCCACAGAACCAAAGCGCCATTGTGACCCTGCAGGGCCTCAGGGAGGGAAGCAAGGGGCCATTGTGAGACTTCAGAACCAAGAATAACATTGTGACATAGCAGAGCACCATGAAACGAAGGGAACATTGAACAGGTCTTGCTGGCTTTGATTCCCAGAGGCCACC